CTGAAGCTACTAAACTCACTGTGTCTAAACTACCCCGGCAAAAAATGTTTGGACTCAATGCTATCTAATACCCGGTACGGTGACGGACCATCAACAGACAGAGAAAATGTAGGTTTCTGGTTATTTATTAGTTATTTTTATGATATCGAAGAAAATAAATACATATATAACTATTTTCGAATGTGAGATGTAATATTTTCTCCAACCGTTCTAGATTAACGGAGAAATAAGTGAAAATGCACGTCAAAATGATGAATTGAGTGAACCTTGCCTCGAATTTGATTAATTTCTCGTTAAATTGTGCACATTGTACAAAAAAAAAAGGTACGGAAAGAAAGATATTGACATGGAGATTGCAAGACTAGTCACTTTGAGCACCTCACTACTTGTATTTCTGTGCATGGAACGAATGTAATGGGTCATGTCAAAATGAAAGGACCCGGTTTTGTCAACATGTACGACCCGGTTTCGTCATAGATTTCACAGAGCAGAACCCGGTTTTGTTATATAAAAAAATGCATAATCGCACAACATAATTAAACTTCAGCGTTTAAAAGGAGTTTGGTGGCTCGTTAGAAAGCAATTTCTTTCAATGGACAAATTATTATTTATTCGAATATGAAACACTCGAATTCCTACTTTATTGGAACAATAATAATTTTAATTTTGCTTTGTCTTTAAAAAAATACTTCAACTACGAAATACAAAGAATCAGGCTATCACGCAAATTGCGGTTTAAGCTCTCTATTCGTTTTTATATGAATTTTGTAAATTTAAGTGTTTAAACTTGGAGTTTAGTATACGGTCTTGAAAATTGAAGCACGCAAATTTGATATGGGATTTTCTTCCACAACAGGATGGTTATCTTAATAAGTAATCCACTGTACCTAGGGGTGTAATCTTTCCGATGATCGTTTAGAATAAATCAACTTGAGACTAAATATACATTATAAGGCATGATAGTATTAAGACAAATGTATACTAGTATGCATGCAGAATCTCCGTAGAATATGAATTTACATGCGGAGTAAAGGATTACAATAATCATGCGTTAAAAATCTTTTTATCCCTACTTGCAACTATTATACTGAGTATAAATTAGTATAATAGTCTCAATCCATCCAGAAAATGCAATAATGATGATTTTATTGATAGTTTTATAAATAAACGGTTCTTTTATCTCTCCATTGTGTGATGATTATCGTACATTGGCGGATTTTGGATTTTTCAAAGTGGCCGTAATTTCAACAGATAATATACCGTCGAGCGTAGCGAGTGAACATTTTTCAGGACGATTTTATGCCCAAAAAAATCGTGAAAAACTTGATATAATAATATCTTTTGGGCCATCAATGGTTGGGGTGGGTGGGGGTATTTAACCTATACTCTGCGGCCTGGATCTGCCACTGAAGTTATATGACTAAATCGTATACCATCTTAAAATTTTATAAGAAATAAGAAAATAGGGACACCCGCGAAATTGGATGTATGTGGGTTGGATTATCTTATATAGATATAGGAAGATGTGGTATGAGTGCCAATGAGACAACTCTCCATCCAAGTTACAATTTATAAAAGTAAACCATTATAGGTCAAGGTACGGCCTTCAACAAGGAGCATTGGCTCACACCGAACAACAAGCTATAAAGGGCCCCAAAAAATTACTAGTGTAAAACCATTCAAACGGAAGAACCAACGGTCTAATCTATATAAAAACGAGAAACGAGAAACACGTATGAACTACATAAACAGACGACAACTACTGTAATCAGATTCCTGACTTAGGACAGGTGCAAACATTTGCAGCGGGTATAAACGTTTTAATGGTACCAAACCTTCTCCCTTTTCTGAAACAATAGTATAACATCACAACATAGAAAAACACACTATAAAATATCAATTGGAAGGCTTAACTCAATCAAAAAACGTAAATTAACACACAATGAACGAATAAATTTGACCTGTGACACCTGAATGCAAATGCACAGTTAATAAAAAATTACAAGGGATAAATAATTAAAGTCAATAGTAAATAAACAGGTTTAAACAAAGTTAAAGTATGATATCACTGTTAAATTTCAAACAATTTATAGAAAATCATCACTTTTGAAGAAACCTGCGTCATATTATACACAGGTAAATGAAAATAATTTTGTTGTTAAGTATACTTCTTCTTCTGTGTGTATAAAATCTTCCGTTTAGGAATACCAAGAAATTTCTTTAATATCAATAAAACTAATCTAACACTTGGTACATATGGGGTGAATATTAACAATAAAAATATACAATTAGTGCTAGATAAAACTTCCTGTACAGGTCCAAGAACAGCATCTAAGGAAAAATGAAATAATTTTGATGTTCATAGTACGAATAAGTGAAAATTTGTAGTAATTAAATACCAAATAATCAAAGCTGGTATATAGACAAGATCCATGTTAACATTAAATAACAAAAAAGCATTACAAATAGTATCAACAGGTCAAATTAAAAGAAAGTACGATTGTTTATTCTAAGAATATCCTAAAAATTCACATTGATATTTTGGTACCGTCGGAATGCAAGACCAATAGATGCAAATTCGTGGTGGCTTGAACTATTTATATATAACTTCATATTTCAGAAGTTACATTAGAAGACCTGACTGCACCATACCTTGCACACAGATATTTTATGTTACGAAGTTTCTATCTGTCATATGTCCATTGCCCTTGACCTCATTTTCATAGTTCAGCGATTTCCTAACAAAATGAATGGCTGTTTTTTTATCAAGAGAATTTCACGCTGATAATGGTTGATAGCTATGATCAAGGTTAACACTACTTGTTCAAGTCCTTATGGTTGGCATTAGCTCACCTGACCCAAAAGGAAAGTGAGCTTTTCTCACCAATAACCCACAAGGGGCCTCGGTGGCCGAGTGGTCTAAGTAGTCGAACTACTGTATCACTAGCCAGTCAACGCCGAAGTTGTGAGTTCGAATCCCGCACGGGGCAGGTGCACTCGACTCCAATCTTAATTGACTATGATTGTCAGTTTTCCTATTCTCTCCGGGCACTCCGGCTTCCTCCAACAATAACAACGGGCCGCCACGAAATAACACAATAGTGTTGAAAGTGGCGTTAAACACCAATCAATCAATCAATCAATAAAGAGTCTAAAGAGCTTATGTTTTACTATATTGTATTTTTTTAATGACTTTGAAAACATTTGGTTTTATTTGATTTGATTTGACAATCATCATTGGGGTATTTAGTTTAAAAATGTTATCGCGATCGATGACCCCGCTTGTCAACCAAGATGGCCGACTTGGTTAAAAGAGAACATAGGGGAAAATGCAAGTTTTGTCTATTATTTTGAAAACCGCAATATATAGAGAAAATTCAACAGGGACAGATATATTCAAAATGATGAACTCTAACTTTTGTCCATATACATCAAAACTCTCACATGAATTCTTAAAGGAGTTATTGTCCTTAAATGACAAGTTTCGCCTTTTTTATTTTTGCTTTTTATCTTGAAATATATAAAAGATGGAGAGAAAATTCATATATCAAAAATGATCAAAAAGGCAAGATCTACAAATAAGTCGACTTGGCCGATATCCTTTTAAGAATTAATTACGATTTTTACCTTTGTTTGCGTTTTGACATTAAAAGTTGAAAATTCCACAGCTATGTTATGTACGTTCTCAAGAGTGAAAACTCGCATTGGTATGAGTACCATAGTATATATGGTACCAGAAAATTTGGCGGGGTTGCATGCATGGTTAATTTGTGTAGAATAGTATAAACTAAAGTCTTTTTCTGACTGTCCGTCAATGAACGAATGAATGAATGAATGATAGTAAATATTGTTAACAAAGGTGAAAGTATAGTAAAACATTCTAGCTTTATTCTTTAAATAAATTAATATGGTAACACAATCATACAACATCTTTTTATTTTAACATCATTACATACTAGTTTAGTAAACAAAAAAATATCATAATTTTATACAAGAAATAATGTAAGTACATGCTATAAAGTATTTATGTTCCATTTAAACTTAGTTCGAAGATAAGTGCAATATGGTATACGTTTTGCATTCGAAAAATATGTACTATCTTTTTCTGAAAGTTCTCGTTTAAAATAGATTCAAACACGACAGTTTTGATTTACAATAACATATATATTGAATTTCTTTCGACGGACAATGTTCAGAACAGTGTTAACGTTGATTTTCAAAAACTTGTGGTCTCATAACAAAACAAAACCGGGTCATATACAAAGACAAAACCGGGTCATTGTGTAGTAAACAACATTGACAAAACCGGGTCCTTCCATTTTGACATGACCCATTTCTTTCGTTCCATGCACAGAAATACAAGTAGTGAGGAGCTCAAAGTGACTAGTCTTGCAATCTCCATGCCAATATCTTTCTTTCCGTACCTTTCTTTTTGTACAATGTGCACAATTTAACGAGAAATTAAACAAATTCGAGGCAAGGTTCACTCAATTCATCATCTTGACGTGCATTTTCACTTATTTCTCCGTTAATCAAAACGGTTGGAGAAAATATTACATCTCACAGTCGAAAATAGTTACATATTTATTCATATTCTTCGATATCATAAAAATAACTAATAAATAAACAGAAACCTACATTTTCTCTGTCTGTTGATAGTCCGTCACCGTACAGGGTATTAGATAGCATCGAGTCCAAACATTTTTTGCCGGGGTAGTTTAGACACAGTGAAACTAGTGAAACAGTATGCTCTTACACTTCCGGAGCGCCTTGTGTCACTCCGAGTTCGTATTGTTAAATATTGCGTTTTCTATGCAGTAATATTCGACTGACTTTGTAAGTTTCTTTTCTGATATTGTTCATTAAAAACTAAACATGAATGAAGTATCAAAAATGGTGAAGACGATTTTTCCAACTGTATATATTGAACTTGTTGAATCCTTTTTCCTATAAGTGTATCATATGCATTTCTATTTTATTAGTAAATTTTATTTTTACAGAATGCCCTGTTGGTTCATACGGAAACGATTGTTTTGAAAAATGTTCAGCAAACTGTTGGAATCCAAAATGTGATCACGTGACAGGTGAATGTATCAGTGGTTGCAATGCTGGATGGCGAGGATTCAATTGTTCCCAAAGTGTGTTCCTTTTGCCAAGAAACAATCTGTTCATTTTATTATCTTTTGATTCATTGCAAGCAGAAGTTATTTTTTAGATCAATTAGTAACATAAGACTAGCTTTAACTTGAATTGGTGCATTAGACGTTGGAATTATATTTTTAATACGCCAAGTTCAATTTCATTCATTATTCAATGGTTTATTCGAATACCGCCTTACATTTAAAAAAAACATAAATCGCTATTTCAGTTGTATAAGCAATACAATGAAAAAAAAATCAATTTAAAAAAAATGTGTCCTTTATTAAAAAGATTAGAATGAACATAAAAAAAAATTATGTTTTATATTCTTATTCAACTAAACTGTATCAATTTATCTAATTACCTAGAAAATTAAATTGTCGACTGACAGAACGAATTGTGACATTTAACTATTATATTTTGATGTGAAATTCGTATTCGATCATGATTACAGATTGCCCTAGCGGTCAATTTGGGGGAAACTGTTCTGGATTTTGTGACGGATGTTTATCAAGTATGTGTGATCATGTTGGTGGAATATGTGATATCACAACTAGCTGTAAACGTGGCTATATATACTCTGAATACTGCGACGTATGTGAGTAATGTTAAGTATATCAAAACTGTGATAATGTTTTAATGAATAAAATAAACCTAGTCAGATGAACGTAAATTAGGGAGTAATACAATTTTGTCCCTTTAGAGAAAACATGTGTTCAATATGCTTAATTTGATTTTAAACTCCAAGTAGTTTCGTTGGTAATAGCTATACGTATAGACATGGTACTTCACTGAAAGAGAGGAGAAAGATACCAAAGGGACATTCAAACTCATAAGTGGAAAATAATAGACAACGCCATTGCTAAAAAAATAAAAGACCAACAGACAAACAGACAAACAATACTACACAAAACACAACATAGAAAACTAAAGACTGAGTAACACGAACCCCACCAAAAACTCGGGGTGATCTCAGGTGCACCGGAAGGGTAAGCAGATCCTGCTCCACATGTGGCACCCGTCGTGTTGTTCATGTAAGTACAAACCCGGTCATACGTCTAATTCGGCAGGTCACATTCGGGAAAAGGGGACGGGATTGTAGTAACGACATTAGGAACATAACCGCTATCATCTGTGAAAAGGATATTCCGAAATTGTCAACTAACTCGTGATTGCGTCCGTAAAATTTACGAAGGCATAATTTCAACTTCACCACTTGGAACTCTTGGTTTAATAGATTCCTTGTGAGCAGCAACTTTCTATCAAGGAAATCATGATAGAAAATACAAGCCCTGGAGTATCTTATCAACTGGGAGATATATACTCCGTATGCAGGCGCTGCTGGAATGTTGATCCATAAAAATGGAAAGTTCACTATTGGGAAGCTGAAATCATCTCTTTTGTCGTAAAGTTTTGTTTTTAACCGACCCTCATTGTCAATTTCTAGATATAAGTCGGATATGAGACAGATTTAACTGTATCTGTTGTATCCTTTATCTCAAGTTTGATGGGATAGATGCGTTCAACATAGTCACCAAATTTTGAATTATTTAGTGAGAGAACATCATCTATGTAGCGGAAAGTAACGTTAAAGGATACTGCTAACTTCTTTTCTTTCTTCCTAAGAAGTTCCTGTATGAAATCAGCCTCATATGAATAAAGGAACAAGTCGGCAAGAAGATGGGCACAGCTGGTTCCCAGGGGAATACCGATTGTTTTTTGAAAAACACGTCCTACAAACTTAACAAAAATGTTGTCAATCAAGAAATCCAGCATCTTGATAATGTCAGTTTCAGAGAATTTTTTGTTGGAATCAGAGTGATTTTTTACAAAGTAGGATTTATCCCTCCCTAAGACAAGATACTTGTATCTACGTTGGCAATTCTTATTTATGAAACAATTCACTACCAACTCTTTCAAGTTGTCTTTTAGTTTGGAATGGGGAATACTTGTGTAAAGTGTAGAAAATTCAAATGTTTTAATACTATTGCAAGATGAAAGAGTTTTAGATTGTATTGAATTTTTTAGTATCCACATCTGATTCACGCCACTTCTAGAATATGTAGTTTCACAATAACTTTGAAGCCCGGCTTTGATTGCTGATAAAATTGATGTTTTTAATTTAGAAAGAGGTTTCGTGGAGCACTTTGAAGACCCAGCAATATACCGTTGTTTGTAAGGACATTTATGTAGTTTAGGTATCCAATTCAGTGATGGAAGATCCTGAATGAGCATAGACGTCGGCAAAATGAAGGTTCTTAACAAAGTATTTTCTCAAAACAGAAACTCAAAACCAATCAAATAACAACAACTCACAATTATCCATTGGTTATAAGAATTATTTTGATTTATTATAAATCGATAATTACATTGATGAAACTATTGATAATTTAATAGTATATGTGTGGACAAAGTGTCTGTCGGTTTATTGGCCATCTTCATTAAAGGATAAAATCTGACATTTGAGTTTAACCCGGCTAGCGGTTTTTTTTCTATATACGATTTTAGTATATTAATGGAGGAGTATACATAGTTTAAACTCCATTCTATGTACAAGGGTTTGACAATTTTTGTCGTTTATCAATCGCTGCGATTCAGTCGTTTTGTGCTAAGGCGGCTTAAAGCAACCACCATTCAACCAATCAATTGTACATTCAACTAAGGTATGTTGTACGCTTAACTAAAAGACTGATCAGAACTTCTACCTTTGTTAAGTGTCTAGGCCTACACTAGTCAGTTTTCATTTAGACAAATAAACATGATAAAAAGTTTTAATCACTATATCAAAAGACTATATTGATTGAATGATTGTTGTTTGCTCAACGTCCAGTGGCAAATATTTCATGCATGTTCAGGAAAAGAACACATGAACAATAAATACAATAGGTAAGTAGGTCTTGTAATAGAAGCTGTCCGGGATAAAGGTCGAGGAAATTTAGATTGCCACTGGGAAATGAGTGTTATTGAATAAGGACAGAAATTTGGCCTAGCAACATGCCATCTACGGACCCCTCAAAGAGTTGTTGCAAGGGTTCTTAACGTGCTGGTAGCGTGGTACTCTCTCTGCATGAGGCTTCGGATTTAACGTCCCAATTCTGACCGTAAGTGGCTTCGTACTTGATACATCCCGCATGTAGCCAAACAGACGCCCCACTTTGGCGAGAGTTGTACTGCCGGTCGGAAGAAGACCAAAGTGACCAAATTTCTGTTCCCCAGTCACACTAATGCATTTGTCAAAAAAGATAATGAAATCTTATTATGATTCGCTGGCTATATATACTGGTACAAGAAAAAGAGGATTTATCTTGGGGTTGTATTGAGATATTCGGATTGGTTAAGGTCTCGTTTCTTTAAAAAAAAGATACAGGGACGATAGAGTCATAATATATAATGGAACATTATATGAGATTAAATACGTTTTTTTGTCAAATAATTATATTCCCTTATTGAAATTCACCTATAAGATTTCAAACGATAAAATATCGTTCCTATATGTTGCGTAATTAAAGGTCAGAGATTTACAACAAATGGCATTCTTGACCTTGCAATACATTTTAAAGAAACAAATTCTTTTCGCTATCTGCATCGGAATAAATGTCACTCACAGCATGTATTCCGATGATTTATTAAATGTGAAGCAATACGGCAGATAGGAAACACAACTAACCATGAAAAATTAGTACACAGTCTAAATTCAATGTAAAATTATTACATAGGGGTTATGATAACGTCGAAATAGATGATAGCATTACTGATGCTTTATCAATTGACCGTACTGAATTATTACAGCATAAAACTTTGAAGGAAAAAGAAAATATTCCTTAAGTTTTAATAACTAACTAAGTATAACCCATATATACGTAAAATAAAAAAAAACGTATCATGAAACACTGGCATTTATTGCAGTTTGACGAAAAATGTGTACGAGTGTTCAATGTGTAACCAATTGTTGCGCATATCAAACATAAAAGTGTAGGAGGCATGTTTACTAGATCAAAGTTAAAGACTATAACATCACATTGACAGACTCCTTACCCTTCCGGAGCACCTGAGATCACCCCCAGTTTTTGGTGGGGTTCGTGTTGCTTAGTCTTTGGTTTTCTATGTTGTGTCATCTGTACTATTATTTGTCTGTTTGTCTTTTTATTTTTGGCCATGGAGTTGTCAGTTTGTTTTCGATTTATGAGTTTGACGGTCCCTCTGGTATCTTTCGTCCCTCTATCTTGGACCCATGATGATGACAGATCTGTCAAAATATCTATTGACGACGAATTAAAGTATAAAAAAAAAAACATATACATGAATATTCATATTTATTATATAAAAGTGATGCATCTGAAGATTACCATCCCAAGCTTTTGATTGCCGAAACACTTAAATAGTGTCGGGAACTATCAGGCAATATGGGATGCGTGGTTGCATGGGTGTTTTATTATAACAAAATGATATCAATTTAAGTATATTTCACAGATATTTTGTTTCATGTATCTCGTATCATGTATTGCTGTGTCTCGTATCTCTGTTTTGTTTTTTACGCCAACCCATTTTAAAGCAATAACTTAATTTCAGTATTGAAAAAGATAAGAATACCAAGTATAAATTGAACTCAATTGATACCAAATGAAAACAATTCGTCAATACAATTCTAGTTTTTATTTATTAAATCTTCCTATCTTGAATTTCATTAATTTCTTATTCTATTTTGGTCAATTAACTTTAAGGAATCTTGACGAGGATGAATAGATTGATTTGATTATGGATGCCTGCTTAACGTCCAGCGGCAAACTTTACGTACATATTTCGTACGATAGCATGTAAACGACAAATGAATATACCCAGATATTTCGCACTTTTATGTAATAGCTCACTAGGTAACAGTTCATAGAACGAAATATAATCCCATTCAAGAAACAATATTTTCACTCCGAGCCTAGACCAGTCTAAACTCCTTATTGTTGCGTTTGCAGCGAAGAAATATAGCAAATAGAAGTTTTAAAGGTGTCTATCCGGTAATGAAAGGTGACAATTTATATAATTATACTCTGTCACATAGTTTATAAATTAATACCTTTCACAACGACGCTTCATCATGTGTGCACTTATAAAATAAGGATGTTGCTTTTCTCATCTTTTAGCGAAAGAATAATGGAATGAAATTAAGAAACAAATCTCAAGTTTCGGCCACAGGTCTTTTCAAAAGACTTCAACATCGAAAATTACATCTTGCTTCACTTTTGTTACTTTTCTTATGATTGTGATGTTGTTATGTACATGACGTAATGATTCGTGACTTTCAGTTTGAAATTTAAAAGATAATTATCACAGAATATGGAGTATAATAAATAAAATAACACATGGCTGATATGGTCATAGAGCTGGTTGTTACCCCGCTTGCAGGAACAACCTGAAATATAACCCTTTCAGCAGAGAACCACCGACAACATATATGAACAATAATATTAAGTATAAAAAAGTGAATCCTATCGACGTACACTTTCGTGTGTATCGTTTCAACTTATATTGCATTTTGTCGTTTTATAATCCTTTTATTTTACTTGATGGACAATGCTTAACAACGATTTTTCATTTCCTTGTAAACTATCAAAATATGATTGATGATTTTGAAAGTATGAGATCATAGATGTAAGAAGATGTGGTATGAGTGCCTATGAGACAACTCTCCATCCAAGTCACAATTTGTAAAAGTAAACCATTATAGGTCAAAGTACGGCCTTCCAACACGGAGCCTTGGCTCACACCGAACAGCAAGCTATAAAGGGCCCCAAAAATGACTAGTGTAAAACAATTCAAATAGGAAAACCAACCGTCTAATCTATATAAAAAACGACAAACGAGAAACACTTATGAACCACATCAACAAACGACAACCACTGAACATCAGGTTCCTGACTGAGGACAGGTGCAAACAAATGCAGCGGGTTTAAAAGTTTAAATAGGCGCCAACCTATATATTCACCCTACCTGAAACAATAGTGTAACATCACAACATAGAAAAACACACTATAGAATATCAATTATAATGGCTTAACTCAATCAAAAGATATATCAACAAAAACAAGTGAACATACACTGAACGAATAAATTTGATCTATGACACAATGTAAATACAAAATTAATAAAACAAGGGGGTTAGATGTAAAACAATATAAGAAAGGTAACCATAACCTTGGACAAAATGCCGCCAAATAAAATAACGTACACAGGTAAATAAAAATAATTTTGTTGTAAGGTATACATGGAGTACGGAAATAAGTTTGCTGTTCCTAGTACTTATTGTTTTTGGGGAAGGTTAACTTTTTGGTAGTAAGACCCGTCACGGCTAAGCTTGGAAACTGAGTAGGCAAATGCTCACATTGAATCTGTACCGAAACAGTGTGTTGAATGTCCTCTTTTACACCATTACCGATGATGATGCTCCTACTAAAGGAGGAAGATACAGAACATACATACAAACGAGAACCAAAGTGAAAATTTATCGTCACACTAAACACTTATCAAAGGTGGTATATATTAAAAATAGTGAGACTAGATATAACACTGAATAAGTAAACATCAAATAACAAAAATACATTACAAATTGTATCAACAGGTCAAATTAATACGAATGTACGATTTGAGAGTACTCGCAGTTACTGAAAGCTAGTTGACCATTTAAATGCAACACACTAACGAAACGACATGATTATAACAACGAATAGATTTTGTCTTAGGAACGGAAAATAGAATCCCTCATTTTCTTTTAGTTTTTTAAAAGAAATTCAAAAGACCTCTTTAATCCATTACTTATTTTAGTTGCCTGTGAATATTATAAAAAAAGGAATTATCAGAATTATATTAATGAAACTCTTCTGACTTTTTTAAATGCCCCTTTTTGACCTGTTCTATTGCAACGATCCCAACTGATAACTTCATGTTGATATTGAGATCTTTGATGATCCCTTTCATTTACTCTGTCCAAGGCATACATGTATTCTTGATCACAATATGTGTCCTGATCTATTCCTGAAGTCATGCGGCGTGTTAGAAAAAGGGGGATTTCAAATATACAAGGAATACTAGAACGTCGATTTGAGATAGCAAAAATAAACTTCGAGTAGAGGGGACACAAAAAATCCTTCGTTGATTTTTATCATGACGTAAAAAATTCATGAAGGCATACAATTTGGTGAGACAGACGCGCGGTTCGCCTGCATAAGACTCATCAGGGGCGCTGGAAACAGTTGGAAGGCCAAATAAAATAGGAAGCTTGATTGGGATGCGATTTGATAAACGTACATCCATTTGATACCGAATGCGGATCTGATTCAAATGTGCTGAAATGGACATAAAAAACTAATTACACTGCTGCACACGAGAACACCTCTGAATTTTTGTGTGGATCTTTCTACTCAATCTTCACATCATCATGTAATGGTTTGTAAATGTTGCTATATTGTCTTCCTTTTTTGCAATGATGTTATTTTTTAGGAAGTTTTTATGTATGTTTTTACATTTTTTTTATTTAATAGTCATCGGTGTTGCTAAGACAAACAACAAGCTGCAATAAGCAGGGTTTAATATTTGTGATGAAGGGTATACCGTAATAAGTATTTTGTGAAAACCACGCGGTAACATCGCACCAAACGTGATAGTTTTTTTACAAGCGATTCGAAAAGAAAATCCTAAAAACTAGTAAAAAATATTGATGTACAAATAGAAATATATCAGAATATATTTAGATTTTTTATGAAAAATATGCTTTTTTTTCTCCCTAGCCTGTGACGATGGGAATTTTGGTAGAAATTGTGAAAAAACATGTAATTGTCTAACCGAACCTTGCAGTAAAGGTGACGGAATATGTCCACCTGGAGGCTGTAAGGAAGGATGGCATGGTGAATCATGTAACAAAGGTAAGAAGCAGTCAAAATTTAAAATAGTTTTAAAGATCTATTGTTACATTTAACAAAATGTTTGTTTGCGGAAGTATTAATGTAAGACAAACAAGTTTTATTAATAAAAACATGTTGTAAAATTTCCATAAAAACACTATAACATTTTCATAGCATAACATAAATCTTATATAGAAACATGGCCCATGATTTACTAAGAGCTATTAACAATCTGTGAAAAGTAAAATAACAAAAATACCGAAAAATTCAAAACGGAAAGTCTTTTATCAAATGGCAAAATAAAAAGCTCAAAAATATCAAACGAATGGAAAATAACTGTCATATTCCTGACTTGGAACAGACATTTCCTTATGTAGAAAATGGTGGATTAAATCTGGTTTTATAGCTAGCTAAACCTCTCACTTGTATGATAGTCGCATAGAATTCCATTATATTGACAACAATGTGTGAGCAAAATAAACAGACACAATAGATAAAAATGTATAAAATTGGGGTACAGCAGTCAACATTGCGATATAATCTTAATCACTATAAACGCAAATAACTATTTCAACAAAGAAAAACAAAATGGCATATAGACACTCTATAAACAAAGTGTATGGTACTGTTTGTAATACTTTGGCTTTAGCAGAAAAACTGTCATATGAAAAAGATTCATAAGAGATTTTGTCAAACTGTTCAAGCCTAAAACAAATCATGTCATAGAGCTGCAAAAGCAGCATTTGGTAGATTTCTATTGATTCATTCATTGGCGTTCCAACTTTAGTGTACTTTTGTAATATAAATACAAAACTTGAGGGGATAAATCCTTTAATACAGGAAGCATATGACATAAATAAAACATAAAATAATTATGTGTATTTAAAAGGTTGGTATATTCTTGCCTCTAGATATTTGAAGAATTTGGAATTTAGATACAACAAATATGAAAACATAGATATTTTTTCTAAAACCTATTTTAAGGAGAAATTTTAAAAATAGTATTTTTGAAAGATACAAAAATAACTTGAAGAATAATTCAATACTATTCTTATATAGTTAGCTTACACAGATATAAAATTAGAAGATTTTCTATTAAATGAATAAAGTTTAAAAACATATACAACTTATTTCAAAATCTCCAGTCAGAGATCAAAATTTAGAAAACAGAAAGAGGTCATAACAAGTATATTCAAAGGAAAAAAAACTATGTCAAAAGTTGATATTATAAATGTAGATAACCATTGTCCAATAGACAAAGTTTCGTTTTGTGTATTTTAAGATTATGCAACTTATTCCACCTTCTTAAAACTAGCTTTCGTGTAGCTTTTTTTAAATTGATGTGTGTCAACAATACATTGTTTACCTTAATCAATATATTCACTTTTGTTCTAACACTTTATGAAACATAACAAGCTATATCATGCCTATGCTAGTTATTTGATAAGGCTGACTAAATGTAATCAATGACACTGGCATTGAAATGTTTGATGTACTATTATCTAATGAATGATCTCGACTGGTTCTTTTGTTCATTGAAGTTGCTGTAAAAGTCGTGTCATCTGTACTTGTAGTGATGTATTACCCTGCAGGTGTAATTAACATTGGGTTAAAGAAGGCTGATGTGGTATTGGCAATACTGTGTCCCTCGGATTTGTATGGCAACTGTAGTACATGTACATATACCTATATAGCTGGTAGCCTTTGGTTGAATTTCTTCCTTACTAAAGTTGCAACAGTAGATGGTGTAGTTTTTCGCTTTCTTGCTAACCACCTGAGCTCATCAAATATGACTTATAAAAAAAACTCAAAATAAAGAATCACAATATAAAAATTCCAAATGTGGTATAATATTACTACAAAAACCTGTTTATTCCTTGCCAACAAAAAATATAAACAATTTTAAATTATAAAAATATACATATTATGATTGATTGTTGCCAACTTAACGTCCAATTGCAAATATACATATAACGGTTCATAAAACAACTTACAGATGTAAAATTTGATAATAATCAACAATAAAAAATACCAAGCAGTAAATTTGAATTCGACAAAATAGAAACCATCTTTTAATGCTGTATATGTCGACTTCACAGTTATCTGTTGTAGTCACATGCGTAACGCTCTTTTTGGGACATTATTTTAATATTTTATTGGTTCTTTAAAGAAATTCCTATATGTTTGATAGTAACTTTACAATTTTTGGTTGGTGAGTCTGTGTTGAAGCGTGGAAATTGCTACGGTATGCAATTCATTTTAGTAAAAATAAAAATTTACACAAATTTAAACATATGGTCAATTCAATTATAAAGACGAAAGTTAAATCACAAAAATACTGAACTCTGAGGAAAATTCAAAACGGAAAGTCCCTAATCAAATGGCAAAATAAAAAGCACAAACACATCAAACGAATGGACAACAACTGCGACGAGTGACAATAACCATAAAATTTTATTTTTAATGCACCGCCTAACATACGGCTAAATCATATACCATTTGAAATCATACCATGTGTACTGTCTTTGTTTGACTTTTCTGTATATACATAGTATATTCTTTAAAGCATTTGTATAACCCCTTTTCAAAAATGGTACATTATTTATTTCCCGATATTGACAACAATCGTGTTATCTAAACAAAGATAAGCAATATGATTCCTATATGCAGATGGTGTTATCATGGCAACTGCAAAAGCTTCATTGGAAGACTGATTCTTTATATGATATTATTTTCCGTTTGAAATAATGAAAAAAACATCCCTAACCTATAAACGATGAATTTAAAAAAAACCACATTCTGCAAAAAGATTTTTTTTTTATGAAGTCAATACTAGGTTGCAGAAACATAAATCTCAATGTTTAAAGGAAATAATACACGCGAGATTCACTTTCAAGGGAACTTTAGGGGCAAAACTCGATATTTCAATATGTATTTTAATTGCCATCATGAGAAAAACTTTTTTGTCTTTTCTTGTAATTTGTTTGTAATTTCATGATTAACATTTAAAGATATAAAAGACTTAATATATACATATATTAAGCTAGCCTTAAAAACACTAAATCCATAAATATATAATCTCATAGTTTAATTTCAAATGTTTTTCTTATGCAAATGTCGAACATTTGTTTTCTTGGTTGCTTCAACTGCATCGCGCATTGACGACCGAAGTAAAATCTTTTATATACTAGACACTGAAAGTGTTTTGTGTGCTGTCCAAAGTAGGAAACCCGAACAATCTACGCAATTATTATGTAAAAAATGGGCATGTTGCAGTTACATTAACTTACAGTCTATATCTTAATTTTGATTTGAAAATTCTAGCAATTTGCAATAATTCTAGTTATAATTAGATTTCCTCAAAAGTTAAAAAAATTAGTATTATAAAGAAAGAAATTACACTTACGATTCGACCAATCAGCATAAAGAATGTTTTGTAAAAGTAGGCAACCTCTGGCAAAACATATATAGCACTATTGATAGTGCTGTTATCTACAGCTACACTTATTCAAATAAATTTTCAGAATTGAAACTAACAGATAAATAGGTATTTGGACCATTTTTATTCCAAATCTACTTTGCCATGATTTTGCAATAAAGTTTTATTTTAGATGTTCTACATAATATTCTCTCTTAAGGCATTGAGAAAACCAGAGTGCTACTTAAGTAGATAATCTTTGCTTATGAAAAGATAATTATTTACAATTAGGATATATATGATTATATAAGGAAATTATGCTTAAGCTAAAATATTCAGACAGTTGTGAGAAATGAAACTTGTGGTTGAATTTATTAAGTTTTTTTTAATTGGCTTCATATGTTCCAATCCGACTTAATTTCGTGGATATTTATGCTTTGCGTTGGTTTCAAATATTGTCTTTTCCCAAAATTATCCTGAAAATGAAACCCATAAAACTTAATCCAAAAAATAGGTTTTTTTTCACATTCCAATGCTTTGCATGCTATAATGTGTTCGTTTTGTTTTTCTAATGGTGCGAAAATCTCATAACTGCAATCAAGTTCTTAAATGAGTTAACATAAAAAAAAAAACAATACAGAAAAGTATGTTAAAATGTGATATACAAGCGTTTGAAATGAGATAAATTAAAATCAGGTCTGTAATTGTGAGTTTGAATTGCTATCTATTTTAAAACTATATTTGAATTTGTTTATCATGAATAAAATCCTGTCATATACATTCTCCTTAGGTGTACTTTAAAACTTTGAACTTCACTAAAATCTACCAAGCGATGTAGGAGGAGCATTGCTTATTACAAAGGATGGGCATATGAATGGAAAGAACAAAGACAAAAGGGCGTAGGAACAAGAAAATTCCTACATTCAGGCTAAACAAACACAAACACATACACGCATACACAGCAACATCTGAATTTTAAGATCTGTTCTGATATCATTAATTCACTTAACTTTGACCAAGCTGGTTATCTTTTCCTTGGTTGACAGGAGGGAGAAGATAACAAAGCCGCAGAAACACAGATAACACTATGACCAAAGCCGAAAATGTCGGATAGACAAAAAACAGTTCTCAAAACACTACTGTGAAAGTACTTTTATTCGTGGGGTACCAATTTTCAGGGTTTTCGTTGATGGCTTTATCCACGAATTGAAGTGTCCAACGAAATATAACAATTGTTGTCCGAATCAAGACTTGGAAAGATCCCCATTAGGTGAGATTGCATGGATACATGATGATATGCGATGATGAAGTGTTCATTTTATCTCCTCATAATTCTCATACGGAAAAGCAATTATTTTATTGAAAATTTGTTGACAAATGAACACCGTATTTTGCAATGTCCACTAATCATTATAAAATAACATAATTAGGATTATTTTCAAGAATCTTCCTTTCGGATGGCTTCAAATTCTTCACTCGATTTTTTGTTTTTAAACTAAAAACCTATAGTCCAGCCGATCGGTGAAAAAATTCCTCAAATAATGAGGAAAGCACCAAATTTTGCATGATGGTACATTTTTGTGTACTGAGCAATATTAGCTAT